TCTACCAGTACCACTAGTATTAGAGCTAGAGGTGCTTGTTTCCCCAGAATTAGAGTCTCTAATTCTGATCCGTTGCTGCAGGTGAGTTTGCACCCTTCCTCGGAGAGTTCCCAACGCAGCATAAAATTGCTGGAACTCCTCAGGGCTCATCTTTTCCATCCGTTTACTCCACCATTGAACCCCTTCTGCAGCTATCTGATCAAAGCTGCTCCCACTCTGCTGATCCCCAAATACCTGAGAAAGCAACTCGCCATCATTCAGATTGGCGAGCTGATCGATATTGTTAACATGGGGGCAACCCTCCTGTGGAGGGTTGAAGTTGAAGGGCGGGTGGGCGCCCTGGTTGAAACCCCCATTCCCCGTGGATTCGAGAGTATTTCCACCCTCTTCGACACCGCATATGTTAATGTGTTCATCTGGGTTTTTATGGAACCCAGATCCATGTTGTGAGGACGTCACCTTGTCCTCTGTTTCCTTCATTTGACGCTCATCAATTCCCTTTCCCTCCATTATTGTTCTTGAATTTTTTTTTTTTTTTGATAGGGAATAATTGTTTTTAATTGACTACATGAAAGTGGAGTCGTAGGGTTTTGTATATATATGCAAAAAGTGGTGGGCTGGATGCTACTAGAAAGAAGCAAAGGGGTCTGCATTTTCTTGAAAGAGAAAGTTCTAAATTTAAAAGGTAAAATCCAATCTGTAATTTCCTTATTCGATGGCATATTCTGTAAACTGCAAAAGTAAAATGGAATATTCTGTGCGGTGAGTTATATACAGGATGAATGTCCCTAAAAATTATCTTTTGCTAAGATTTTTTTATTCTGTCTTTGATTCCTTTCCAAGTTCAGTTGCATAAAGATTTTGTTACTCTCAATATATGTATAAACAAAGAAAGAAAACCAATGAGCCTTTCACCACGCTTCTCATTGAATGAGAAGCAGGTGCAGGCGCCCGCATCATCAGGTTGAGTCATAGACTCAACATTTCCCCTTTTCCTCGAACAAATATTAATATTACTAATGTAATATCAATGGTCAAAAAAAAAAAAAAAAACCAAACAAAGAAAACCAATGAGAATTTGGTCAAATTAATATCCATAAACTTTAAAATTTTGGTTGAATTAGTACTTATAAATTTAAAAACCTTAATTTAAGGTTACAATAAAAAATTCTAATCTTATTTTGATCTTCTACTGTAACAAAAGCTTCTATTTAGTCTTTTACTTAGAAAGTTCTTCTTTAGTTCCTAAAATTTATTATTTGGCTTCTTTTAGTTCTTTTATGATCGTTTTATACGTATAATGTGTTAGATGATAAAAAAAGAAAATATTTTTATCTTTATCTTCTTTTACTCAATCTGGTATGTATTTACTTCTTAAACCCCTAACATTAAATGTTTTTTTGCTGATAAAAAAAAAAAAAACCGTGTTAGATGATAAAAATTCTAAAATAAAAGGACTAAATATAAACTAAAAAAGCTCTTTTTGGGTGTCTCTACTTAAAAAATCTTCTTTTTAGTCCTTTTACTTTAAAATTTTCGTCATCTAATGTATTGGATATGTAAAAAGATAATGGAGGGATCAAAAATGGATTAGATAATAAGGTTTATGGATTAAAAAAGGATTTTCTTGAGTAGAGGAACTAAAAGGAGCTTTTTGTTAAAATAGGGGAACCAAAATGAAAATTTAACCTAAAAAACAAACAAAGAATAATTTAGCAAATAATAATAATAATAATAATAATAATAATAAATAGAGAATTAGAAAACCCAGTTGGCACTTTCCATTTTTGGTTTAAAACATGAGATGCATTTCCACAATCTGGTATGTATTTCATCGGTTATTAATGTCTTTTATGGTAAATTTCTTTTTTGATGTAGAATATATATATTTTTCAAACGGATTCTTAATATATTTTCTGTTTCGATTTAACTAGATGCTATACCGCTAACATCAAAAAGAATATTTTTACGGCATTTGTGTATTGTCCTAAAAGATTCTACTATTTTCTTAATCAGCAAATGCAATTTTTCTTTTTTCCGTGGGAGTACATACTTGAATAGCAACGAACGATAATAATAATAATATGAATATCTTGGACTACATGATCGTACAACATAATGCAAAGCAAATATATAAAATGAAAGTAAAACTTATGGGTAAAATGAATACATCGCCATATCAATTCATAAACACAAAGTAGCAGCGCCAAAATGAAGAAAGCTTACTCTCTAGATCGTTGAAAAACTTCAAATCCATCTTCATCCTCCTAATGCTAATTAACTAATTTATTAATCTAAAACTTTATATGTGTAATAGAAAAAACCTGCAAATGGGCACGCATGGATCCAACACCAACAAGCCATCATGGATCCAACACCAACAAGCCATCGACACCAATACGATGACTTCATGCAAACCCAAATTGCGCTTGCAGGGGATCGCCAAACGTGCACTTGTAGCCTCGTTGTCGTCAGAAGGGACGATGGCCCGTGCTAGAAGCACAAAAACCCTTGTGGCCTAAAATGGGACGACACAAGAGAGGACTTCCCTGTTTGTCAATCTATATATAAATACACTTGAACAAGCTAAAGGGAAAAATATTAAGGGAAACAAAACAATTGAAAAGGAGAGACGAAGGAAAATGATAGCAAGATAGAGGAAAGCAATGGAAAGGGAGAAGCGTCGAGGATCCAAAGATGGAAAGGGGAAGGGGAAGGAGACTAGCAAGTTGGAAGGGGGAATACGGAGCATGTGTTGATGATAGTAAATAAATAGATGGTTTTCCTAATTCAACAATCCAAAAATGTTAGGGCTTGATCATTGTTAACGCAGAGTTGATCCAAGTGGGATGGATTAGGGTTTTATTCTATTGTCACGCGTTACATCTACCAATGAGATTAGTTATATACTCAAATAGGGAAAAGTTTGTTACAATTTGAAGAGGGAAAAATAATTAGAGAATATTTTTGTTTTTTTGCGAACAAAGAACCTCATTAAACCCTATTCAAAGTAAGTATATATATATATATATATGATGATTAGAAATTAATTATTAGAAGAATTAGGGATTAATTATTTTTTGAAGAATGAAAAATAATTGTATTCACATTTAAGTGCAAGAATTAGAATTTTTTTATAATGGATTATGAATATCCTCTTATCATTTATTAGAAGTTTAGATGGTAAACTTCGACTGTAATCATAATTAGAATCACAACTATTTTATTAGCTAAGTCATTGGTTTTATCACAATATGATAGAAGGAATCACAAGAATTAAGATTTTCTCTTTGATTAATAGAAAGTCCCTTTCAAATTGATACATAGCAATATTGGATTTTTAGCACTTTAATTTTAGTCAACCTTTGAAAGCAAGAGATAGTGGCTGCTTCTTAGTGTATATTATATACCACATTACGTTGTTCGATCTAATTAACATTTTAGCTAGTTACAAGCTAATGATGCTGCAAAGCAATAAAATTAATCCACCCCTTTCCCCTTAAGCCCTCAACAGATACTAAGGTGCATGTTAAGTTTTGCATGAGAATATATGTACGTATATGAATTTAATCTTTTTCTCTTGAATCTTTCCATACTGATTTTACGTGTACCAAGTAGTCCTCAAACCAGGAATTCAGTCAGAAATATTTTTGTGGAAACACCAGTAAAAATAATAT